GCCATTTTGCCCCTGACTTCCAGTTGCTGGCCCAACAAGAAAAAGTATTCACTTGGGTGCTGTGTCATATTTGGCAGATACTAGTAGATATCTTAAGTACACTAGGGCATCTCCAGATGATACAAGATACCAATTTTTAGGCAACTGAATTGACACCTAAGGGAAGTGATAAAATACTAGCAATGAAAAGCTTTGTCTCACAAACCAAACAACATATTGACGATGAAGACATCCAGAGTTCAAATCACTCCACCTTTTCCCTTCTTAGACTGACTAAATAGAAGTTATGAGGAGAACAAGAGAGACACTCAGTATTTTCTAATATTTTCACAAAGGGTGGGAAGAATAGCTGTCCCAGCTGTGCCATTAATAGTACCCAGTATAACAGGTGACCCAGGTCACTCACCCAAGCTGAGGCTTCTACATACAATTCTAAAACAAACAGGTGAAAAATCTTTGATCATTGCCTATTATTCCAGCACTAAGATAATTGAATTCTCACATATTAAATATATATTCAAATCTGGACTAGACTGCAATTAAATGATAGCTGAGAACTCTTGATATGATATAGCTGTCTGCCATATCTTACAGCTAAAGCAATAATGGAAATATTATAAAATTAGTGAATTTTTAAACTAAGACCTACAAAAATCCTGGAACTTACTTTTCATTATGTTGAGAATTTCATTATGACATGCCTAAGTAGTTACATGCTATCCTTCAGTGAGAACAACGTTTTTTTCAAAATTTCATATTTCTAATAGCAAGGATAGAATTCTGACTAGTGGGAGAATTCTTCAGAATTTCTCTTTCAGAAAAAGCATAAAATGTTGACCATGTTATAGCTGTCAAACTGTTATATTAGAGTTTGGTGACCAAAACTAAAACCTTAACTTGCAGTAAGCAGCATCCGTATGAACTAGCCCATTGATGGGAGTGAGATTAACAGTATAAATAGAAATACTGAAACTACTTACATATGTGGATACGCTTCAACATGAACTGAATTATATTACTGTAAACTTTCTCAGTAATTCTTTGTTTATTTAAATTAATATCTTTGTAACTAAAGATAATTGTTATTATATTAAAATATTCTCCAAATTAAAGTCAACATACTCCAAAAATCCCTCCATTTACTCTGATTTCTTATGGAAATTCCTATTTATGAACACGTGGTTGGATTCTCTAGCTTACACTGGACAGCGAAAAGATTCAGAGGTCAATGAAAAATGTAACTTTACCTGGGAACTGATCATACGTTGTGATGAACGAGCAATATTAGCAGGCAGGCCAAAAAAGTCAGGTTTATCATCTTCTGGAAGGCTTTCAATAATATTACGATAATCCTGAATTAGAAGGAAAGAATAACCATAACTGAGGGAACTGTTCAGCTCATGAAATTAACAATGTATGCTGAAAAGAATTTCATTAAGTGCACTGTATAACACAAAGATTAAAATAAGTATATAACACATTATATATCTTGGTAATCTTATTTATAAATTTCTTAATTTTACTTATGAAAAACTATCTTCTTATATATTGTGTTTCCACTTTAAAAGAGCAAAAAGCAATTCTGACTACAGTGGTGCTACCAACTGAAAAGAAAAATATGCTAAGACTGTCTCTGAAAAGTAGTTAAAATAATTCTGTTGAAAATTCAAAAGTAGGATTAATTACAATATAAAAAAGAAAAAAAGATTTCGGCATTTGGACTTCAAATAATAGAGCATAATACATGTTTACAAAATGAAGACCACTGACTTCTATTTAGATCTATGAAGATACTATCACTCAAAGAAAGTGAAATCGTTTAGGTAAAAATAGGTTTGCATGATCACTGGAGATACAGAATAGCATCAACGGGGGTTATACTGTAATAGGCACTAGTGATGCTGTTGTACAAAACAGAAAGAGGTGCAGACTCAGGTCTAATGGTGCTGGATTTCTCTTTTATTAGCCAAAAATATTTACTTTTTGAAAGTCTGGCTGCACCCTATTGTGTTATATCATGTGCATTGTGCCCTTTGCTTGCAGGAACATGTCCTAGGTGTGCATGACTGACTTTGACATGGAATCTCACTTCAGAGATAACAGTAGCAGACCTCTACACCAAACACTGAGGGAACACTATTTAGTAAGATATATTATTATTCCCATTCACTTAAATAATCAAAATTAGCTTTATTATCAGTGTTCTACTAATCAAAACAACTTGCAGAAAAAAATATTTAAGACATAAAAGTATAAACTCTCACATAAATAAACATTTAACTATAAGAAACTGAGAAAGATTAAATGCAGTGCAGGCAAGAAGGTTCATCTATTTGACCATATTATCTGCAAGAACCAAGAGCAGCATGGTTTCTTTATTCCTTCCCTCTTTATGATATTAACTCAGCACAACTATAAAAAATAACCATCATAGTTAAAGTAAAAAAATAAACAAACCCCAAACTTTGTCAGAATCCAGGTAGAAAATGCCAAATGACAGCAATTTATTTTAACTGGCATAATTACATTTACACCATCTCATATTAGAGGTCTAGTATGGAGTCCTACATTGAAATGCAAATGAATTTGAATAATAGTAACAACAACAATAGTATGTGACAGGATAGGGAGAGATCAATTCTAGATTCTGTTGAATTCCCTCTTGTTTACACTACAGGAATACTGAAGGAGAATCAGAATCCATATTTATCTCCAAATAAAATGTCATACACTCTCCCCAGCATGTTAGCAGATGATGTCAGAATGTTGATACATTTTGTAAATAAAGTGACATATTTAGATTTTCCTATTTCATCCAGATGTTATAAGAATGTTTAGCAGTCTGTACAACAGTGCTATGATGTTATGTAAAATTGTAATGCTATACTCCTTTGTCATAAATTGACCCAATTTCTTCTACTCGTCTCTTCATAGTTATGCTGCTCTGCCCAGTATCAGTCGCTGCTCAGTATCAGTCCAATCAGATATCATAAGAAAGAAGACTGACTGAACAGCCTAGCAGAATAGTTCTGATAACTTAAGAATTCTTGAAAATAACTTATTTTAGTTTCTGTATTAGGTGATAGGAGATGTATACCTACCAAAATACTGCAGGAATGAGGTAAAGAAATCGAATATGGGAAACTCGTCATCTTCTTGCCTCTAGCATTTAAACTGCCAATGACTTGTGAATTAAAAAGCTGCTCCAAGTAGGACCGAAGAACCCTCATATCGAAGTAATTATCTACACGACCTCCATAAATAGCATTTTCAAACAAGCCACTGACAAATTCCCACTGAAAATCTTTGGAACCTATAAATTAATTAACATCAGATTTGTATCAATGGATAGCATTGCATTATAAGCATTTCTTCTTGTCACTGCAGTTCTTCAGTGAAATAAAAATATACAACCACATCAAATAATTAATTTCTGTTTTTCTTCTATATTACCAAATAATAAAAGTTGCAGAAACTTTTTTGAGTTTGTAAATGTTTGTCATTAATAAAATGAACACTTACTGTGTTTCAAAATGAATTATTAGAAATATTACTTAAGTCTTGAAGTATCAGTTCTTAACTTTATCTTGAAATTATATAAAATGCAAAGACTTTTTAAAAAATACCTTTTTCATATTAACTAATATTAAGAAATTACTACGTTACTTAAGAGAACAGTGAAGTGGGCTCTATCTAACTGCGTTTCAATATGAAGAATTCATTCATATTCAATTCACTTAGTCAACATATGAGGGAGCTCACATTGGGAAGGAATGGAGACAGAGCACTTCATCTTCCAGGCACTCCTGTATTTCCTATTTATTCCTTTGGACTCAAGAAGCCGAGCAGAATAGTTCTTGGACCAAAGAAATTCTTGGTTTACCAATACCAATTACCTCCCAAAAAAATGGAATTATGATTCACTCTGTGTTTCTAGCTTTGCTTACTGGTGATGAGCCTTGCAGCATCTTCACTCTTATCTGAGTGTTGTAGAAAGATAAAGCTCTTCATGCAACTTTTCCACTAATGGAAAACGGGAAGGTCCCGTTTGAAGTCAAGGTCAGATGGCACAAGCTGGCTTGCATCCATACAGCTAATCTCTCTTTTGCCCTAAAATAAGGTAACCTACCTGCTGCCTATTGGAAAGAGTCTCCAGGCTCTGCTAACTGACAAACCATGCCTTGTCACTGCCTACGAGAATGCCAGTCTGCATAAGCCAAATATGAGAAAAAAATAAACCTGATCGTGGATCAGGTTTGAGTCTGATCAGTTTTGAGCCTGGGTTCAGCCCTTATCAGTTTACTATCCTCAGAGTCTGGCTCTACATCCAGAAAAGCCTAATAAGCCTAAGCACAGTTGATTCAGGGTCAGACTACTTCCCATATTGAAGAAGTTACCTAACTACCTGGTCATGTGTTTATATTTGTGAAAATGTTCCAATGAGGATTCAAATACAAAACTTAAATACCTTCAAAGCAGCCTTTAAACAGAATGGCCCCTCTCCAAACTCCACATAAAACAACCATGCAAAGTAACCAATTTATAAAAATTACTGTGTAAGTTTTTTATATTCTAAAAATTTTAAATGAGAGACATTCAAAGGGTTATGCTACAGAGGTGAGAAGTCTTTCCTTAAGACTTACCTTCAAAGAGTCTATCAATAATGTCAAAACCAGCACGGAGATCAGATAAAGAAAACTCATAAAACTTGGTCCAACCCTACCATTAAAAGAAATCCAAAGAATTTAATTAGTCACACAATGATGATCATGAAGTAAAATAAAAATATTATGTGGATACTAAATACCGTATAATACTTAATACTGAATTAAAAAAGAAACCACTTATGTCCTCTAAAGTGCATCTTTGGAAACATTTAGTGGAGGTAGTATAAAATAAATCAGCTCTAACAGTGCATGTAATTTTACATACTTATATAAACTAGAATGCATTGTTTATGAGGAATGTAAAGATTATTTTATTTCCTAACAGCATTTACTTCGACTAAAACTAGCTGACATCTGTGACTAGATCATGCATTGAATTACAATTTTATTTCTGAGGGCTTTTTTGTATTTCAGTTTCCTTTGGACTTTCATAAATAGGTCTGATTCTTCAAACAGTCTAAATTATACTTTCATCATCTCACTCCTTAATTCAAGTCACTACTCTATTGACTGAAAAAATTATGATGAGAAAAGCAATTACTATTACTATTACAGTGAAAATGCCATATGCATATTTTAATCATTCTCAGTTTGTATCTTCTTTCTGTTCTTGGTGTTATTCTCTATATAGCATTAATGTGTAATGAGTATGTAATTCTCAAAAAAAACTTTCAATGTAAATGGATAAGTACAAATAAATACTGATATACTACACAGAAGTTAGGAAATCCAGATCGCAAAGGTATCTGTCGTATCTTCTTATGGCTGTACCTTTGCATATGGATCATACCATAGCAACGGGTGCATATGACCCATGATGAGAAACATGTAAATGTGCCAGATAGCATGTGCATGCCCAGTGAGATGGATACAGTCTCAAGTCAAGACTGCAGCTGCTCCACAAATCACAATCAAAAACTATCAGCCAGTCAGCCTGAAGGTCACAAACTGGAAAGATGCTGCAGTCTCTCAACAGTGTTCATGTATTTTTTTGACAGATCTGTACATGGAACCAAAACAACCTGAAATTCATTATAAAATACAAGAGCTTCTAGCTGGGATTAATTGCAGTCCAGCAATTTTAGAAACTGGTAATCATAAGCAAAATATAAAACCATCACTAAGTCTGCACATGAGATAAACACAGTTACAGTGGAATTAAGGAGAAAGCAGTAATCCCATCTCGCGCCACTTGGAAATCTGGTGGTAAATTAACATGAATTTGAACAAAGCCAAATGAGAGGTCACGTGTCAGATCAGTACTTCAAATATTTTCACCTATTCTGCTTCTTGAACACCAGATTCAAAGTCTGATACTAAAGGCAAAGAACCTTATCAATCACGAAGTCAAAACTATCAAAAAAAATCCCAAACATTCCAGGCTCTGCCAGATTCAGATGACAGATTAACTTCACCCCTACTCTAAATAAAACAAACACGACACAGAACAGTTTGTTGGTTGGCATTTTTTTCTGTTTAATTTAAGCATCTGCAGCCAGAAATAAATGTTTGCTTTAAAAAAAATTTATCTAAGGAAAAAACACATCAAAGTCTCTGAAAACCATTATAATCCTGACAAGAAATGAGTAAACTCCCCTGTTACTCCTTCTCCTTGAACAGGATTTGTGTGTGCAGAAAGAGTAGACAATGTCGTCTCCTCCCTCCCAACACTGTCTCTTTTCTCACATCTTCCGTTCAATCGTGTATGTTTACAAAATATTTTTTCCTGTCCTAAGCAAACAGGATTCCTAGAATCTTTTCCGTGGGACCTCACTCCTGCATCAGTATCAGTCAGTACACAAATCACAAAATAATCTCATGCAGGAAGTTGCAATTTTCAGAAGGACAGGAATTTAGGCTATCAAGACCTTATTTTGCAATGAATTCAGAGACAATAGACCAGGAGCACCCATGTTTTTCTTATGTCTGAACATGACCCAACATAAACCTGACGAAAAATATTTCCAAGTATAAAAGCTAATAAATGGGGTAAATTTTTAAAAAGGTAGCAAAAAAATTACCTGCGGAATATAATTTCTTCTTTCTTGGCATACAGCATGAAACCATGCTAAACAAAAGAGGGAATGTGCCCGTGACAAATTTCCCTTTTTATTAATTTGCTCTGGTGTCCAAGATTCATAGGTTCGCAAAAGATTCTTTTTGAGGCCTGGAGGTGCCTGCATTGGAATGAAAAACACTGTTCTAGACAGAAATGCTGACACTTTCATGTACTATTTTCTTAAATACTAACTTGGGATTTCTAACTTAATGAAATGACAAACAGTACTTAATAAAGTAGAATTTTACAAGAAAAAATCTGCTTGTAATAAATGGCCTAACAACAGAATAATCTTATACTGAAAATATCTTAAGCATATTGAAGGAAATTTGTAATCAGGACCAACTGATAGGAGGACTGAACTACACTAAAAGAACCTAGTGAAAGAACAGTACTCTATCAAAATATGTAAACATAAAAGCAAATTCAATTTTTTCAACAACAAGAACCTTTCTTCTGATTTTACAAACTCAACTACCAATTATCATTTCTGTGATCAGAGTCAACTCACTTTACGTCATCACCACACTCTGTTAGCTAGCATATAGATATGGTATACATGTACAATAAAATGCCAGTTCTCTGATTTAGTGGTAGGTAATTTTCACGACCAGCAGAAATAACTGCAGTTAAAGTGTATACAATAATAAAATTACAGTGCTTAAAAGTAAAAACAACTATTTGGATACCTATTTTCAATAGTCATTTTCAAATAATTTGCAAGTGTGAAGGCAAACATAAATTTTAAAGAGATTTAAATCACATTTTCATATCTATATTCTTTCTTTCTTTTGAAAAGAATGTTAATGTTTCCGTAAGATTACCACAGTTACATATATTGCATATGCACACTTGTGGCAAACAACTGCCAAATAGTGTAGTCAATTTTTTTTTTGAGTATCTACATCTTTACTGGTAACACTTAAAGGACATACCATAACCATTATTAGAAAAGTCATCAGCTATCATTGTCCTTCCATGGTAACAAAACATTTACTACAAAGTAATAGGTAACAAAAGGATTTAGAACATTGCGCCAGTGGGAAGTTCCAATTATTCCAAAGACAGTGGGATCAGTCACTTCAAGAAGGGAGATGTAAAGAAACATGGCAATCCTACACAGTCCTGTAGTTTCTGTACCGTTGAAAACCTCAATATAAGCAAGAAGGTACCCCAGAAATTTAAAAATACCTGCAGTCAACATAAAAGTATAACAATTTTGGCTTCTTGGAAGTCAGCAACATTGGACTATAAAAGGTCAGAGCTTCTTGGTTTAGCTGTAGGCAAAATCTCCACACTCCATTAACAGGTTAGTAGTACCCATACCCATGATTCTCATAATGGGCAGTAATATGTAGGTATTAATCAGAGCACTTTCCAACAAGTTGGAGGTGTATAGTCCCAGTTATCCCTTAGGTTGAGCAATTTTGAAAGCAAAGCTCTCAATTCCTAGTAAAGGCCTGTAACTACATGTTCTGCCATACAGGAGGAGAGCCGTTTTATGTTGAAAAGGTCCAGTGAATATAAAGCTATGGGGGCCAAAAAGAAGAAAAAGGAAGATAAAATGTGATCCTGCCATCTTCAGATGAGGACATTCATCAAGAAAGAAGAATTCATTGTTTTTCATCCATGGTCCAGTACCTGTGTAGGTTTTTGCTTTTAAGAAACACTGATTAAATACATAAAATAATCTGGAGCACAAAACAGAACAAATACTTCCCCCAGGTAAGTTTATTTTCAGTTCAGACTTTCAGTTGGAAAAAAAATATCTGGAAAGAAATTTTACAGACCTCCTCTTTAAAGCACTGCTTCTGCGAATTTCTACATATACATTACAAATGATTGTCATCTTTCAAGGTAAATTTATACCATTTTTTGTATTACATCTTCTTAAGATATAAGGCAAAAACAGTTCTGTAAATAGTCCACATTATCCAAATTCAATTCTATCTAAACATATAGTTTACTGTACATCCAAATATATTCATTGCAAACATGTAATAAAAGATTCCCAAACTTATCTTACTTCATAAGTTATTTTCAGACTTGATTGAAGCAAAATTGGAGTAAATTTTGGATGAACTTCAGTAGTAAGCCAAAGGCGAAAGTTTGGTTGAGGCTGTAATGTATTCAGCTCCTATTAAAGAGATGTTACATATTGAAGTAGGCTTTGGGTTGTTTTTTTTAATATACAGAAAAGTATTTACAAAATTATAATATTCTAAATTAGAAAGTTAGGCTTGTCTAAAACTTCTTTAGTTGTTTTTACAAGTAAGGTTATTCAAAAGACTATAGTTCAAGAGGTGTTGTCTCTACACGTTCTATATGCTTCCTGTGCTCAAGTTTGAAGTTCATCCTAGTTGTCAAAGTATTTGCACCTCCACCCCAGATCCTAAATTCAGAGCATAAAACTATATAGCAGTTCTTTACTTCTCTTCTTTACCAGAGAGCTACATTTGAAAAGAGGAAGGCTTTGAATATGTGCTGCATACCAGCAACAAAGACTTTCAATAACTGTATAGCTACATTAATTTCTTCTTCTTCATGTGTTTGTTGTATGCACACTTCACATATCATGATTCATAGAAAAGTGAAGATAGGTAACTGGAGTTATAAGAGAATAAATGTTGTCAAATGCTATTTCAAATATAAAGGCTTCACAAAAAATATGTAATTACTGAATTATGAAAACATTCTGCTGGTGTTTTATGTGCATCTGAAACAGACATATTTTCCACTGAAGATGCTAAAGTTGTTTGACAATTGACTTGAGAACAATGTCAACAGTTTTATGTACATGTCTTTGAAGAAATATAGCTCAAAAACTCTTAACAGATTTTCTCACAATCCATTCATTTTGATAATCTCTAAAACATAATCTTAATTATTTTGTTTTCAGTGTTTTTAGTAAAGAAGAAAATTCTCTCAATTCATTAACTGTTCTGCTCTTTAGGCAAAACAACAACTATATCTGGTACCTAGAATCACAGAATTGTTGAGGTTGGAAGGAACCTCTGGACACGGTCTAGTCCAACCCTCTGCTCAAAGCAAAGTCAGCTACAGCAGGTTGCTCAGAACTGTGTCCAGTCAGGTTTTCAATATTTCAAAGGATGGAGACTCCAAAGCCTCTCTGGGCAACCTGTTTCAGTGTTTGACCAAGTAAAAAAATGTCTTATGTTTACATGGCATTTCCTGTATTTTAGTTTGTCCCTATGGCCTCTTGTCCTGTCACAGGATACCACTGAGAAGAGTCTGGCTCTGTCTTCTTTACTCCTTCCCATCAGCCAATACACACTAAATAATAAGATCCCCCTGAGAGACTCCTTTTCCCCAGGCTGAACAGTCGCTGTTCTCTCAGTCTCTCTTTGTATGACACATGCTCCAGTCCCTTCAACACCTTTGTGGCCCTTTACTGGACTGGCTCCAGTATGTTCAATGCCTCTCTTGTACTGGGTAGCCCAGCACTGGACACAGCTCTCTAGATGCGTCTCACCAGGGCTGAGCCGAGAAGAAGGATCACCTCCTTTGACCTGCTGGCAACGCTCTGCCTAAAGCAGCCCAGAAGGCCGGTGGCCACCTTTGCCGCAAGGGCATGTTGCTGGCTCACAGTCAGCTTCTTACACATCAGGACTCCCAGGACTTTCCTGCCAAGCTGTTTTTCAGGCAGTCAGCTCCCAGACTGTCTGGGTGCCTGGAGTTACTGCTTCTCATGGGAAGCACTTGGCATTTCCCTTTGCTGAACTTCACAAGAGTATTGTCAGTCTACTTCTCCAGCCTATCAAGGGTCTTCTGAATGAAAGCACACCCATCTGTTGTATCAATCATTTTGCCCAGTTTTGTATTATCTGTACTTGCTGAGGATGCACTCTGTCCCATTATTCACAGCACTAATTACGATGTCAAACAATGATGGCCACAGTATCAACACCTGGAGCACACCACTGATGACTGGCCTCCAGCTGATTTTTTTTGCCACTGATAACAACTCTTTTAGCCATGCAATTAGGCCAGTTTTCAATCTACCTCACTGTGGTACAATCAGGTCTGTATTTCAGCAGATTGTCTATGAGGATGTTACAGGAGACAAACTAAGATATGAAAATGATCCACAGCCTTAGAAGCAGGAGATTTCAGAAAAGAAAACAAGGGGATTTACATGCGGGTTCAAGTGCATCATCTGCAGCATGCATCCTCTGATACACCGTGCTTGGCTAGAAGACAGGTAAGGACAGTCAGTTGTAAGCTGCGAAGGTATCATCCTCATACTGATGAAGTCCACATTAACCAGAAGACATATTTAATCATCTCAAATGGGAAGATTGTGAGAACCAAATTTATGTGCCTGGATGGGACTGAATTATTAATAGGCAGATCACTCTTAAGAGGATCTTCAAACATACGAATTACATAGCCTCACACTTGCTAATGATATGCAAAACAGTCAAGGGGATGTGCTGAGTCAAACATCAGCAAGTCTCAGTCTATATTAAACTAAGCAGGAAGTTTAACATATTCGGTATTACGTTTTCATGAAAAGAATAAGAAACTTCTGATACATATCCATATTTTAATACTTACAAGATGTGAAATTTTATAATTGGTAGGAGGCTTACAAAAACTTCCATACTGTTCACTGTATACTCAGAGTAGATGACACACATAAATGTTATCTTGCTTTGCTTTTCTGCTTTTTCAAAATGGATTATAAGAATGTTGAAAGCACATGCATGCCACATGGTCATTGCTAGACAGAAGACAGACTCCAAGCTTACATGCATAGAGTAAACTTTATGGACAACCATTAGAAACTGGAAAATTAAGATCATAGTAACTGTTGATAGACATTCCCCACATTTCTTTATTTGAGTTAGTTTGTTTTCCGGACATCACAGTGATATACATGTCAAGTCACTTTGATTTAGTTAGCAAGTTAATGATTTTACATGCTGTAAGAGTGTGTTTCTATAAAACATTAGACATTTTAATTTCAAATTAGCAAAAACCTGTTAGTGGCTCAGACACAAGCTACACTTAACAAAAAAGAACTACTAAAAAGAAAGTCCTAGAACTGAAAAAAAACCCAAACAACCGCAGAATATATTTAAGCATACACAGATTCAGAGTTCAGCAACCATGGGCAGTAACTCACAAAATACCTAAAGTCCTTAAAGGAGCTTCTGTTCACTCATTGTGGCAGAAATACTCTACACTGTGTGAAAATTAAAGTGCTCGCACAAAGGACAGAGCTGCTTAGATCCGAAACATTTCACCTTATTCATGATTGAGAAAACTGCAAAGGTTTATTTTTAAATTGTTGGAATTTTAAACATCACCATGAAAATGCCTGAAATGCTTCAGAAATGTTGCATATTAACTTTGTCTTGTTTCCAATACATTCTTTTCTAGTTAGCCTCACCTTTTCCAATACAGGAAGCCAAGATGTAACAAGATGCAGGTTCTTTAAACACAGCCATTCTCCATTGCGTGCACATTCTTTTAAAGTTTGAATAGCCAGGTCAGCTTGGCCTTGGCCCATTGCAATCTGAAATCACAGACACGGTTGTATCAGGAATTTATCATACCTCATTTAACAGCTAAATACGAAATTGTGTTTCCAAGTTAGAGTGCATATGTAAAAAAGGTATGCAAAGATAACCAGAATTTTCTCTAATGTCATAAGCTACCAAAGTAGGGAAAAGCTTGAGGAAAACATGTTTTTTTCTTTGCAACCTATCTAACCAGACTTTCTTAAGAAAAGCATTACCTAGCCTTCTTATGGAAAAAACATACATCACTTGATGACAGTGATGATATTCCCTGGGAACTCAAAAAGTAATTTAAATATCAGTGACTAAACTGTACTATTGCAGAACTGCTGATACAAAAAAACAAGAGATAAATGAGAACAAATTTTCTTTTGACTGTAAGTTAGGAGTACTTTCTTTGAAGAGAAACACTCAATTTCATATTAAGATGAGTGAATAACAAAGGTTGCTCTCTTTCCAACTGGGGAATATGAATAGCTTAACAAATAGTCTTTTCTTCATTTTTTATAGTAACATTGCTGTTAAAATAAATTTGATTCTTCAAACGGAAATGCAGAGAACCAAAACTGAATTCTAATTTCGCTAACTTAGTGAAAATTCAAAATAAAGAAAGGACTTGTTCTGTGGCACAATTACTGCAACAATTGCTGTCAGATTATCTGTAGAGTACCTTCACCTTAGTTCTCCTTTAGAATCTAATTGGAAGCTATATATAACAAAAAACCCTGAACCAAACAAGCTGAAAAGAAAGTGGTCTTAGCCAATCTGAAAAAGTCTTGTTTTGGCATTACTGCTATAGCAAAATAGAACTATCATGATTATTATGACTCCATCAAATATCCCTTAAGAGGAAATACATCCTGTCTTTCTATCCTAAAACTGTACTGAATCAAAGAAAACTTGGGGCCTTAGCTTTATATGATGACACAGGGATATCCTCTGCATAAATAAAACTGAGTATAATATCTTGAAATAATTTAAAATAGCCAAAAGAAGATAACTGAAAGCCACCAGACAATATGGTAGTATCCCCCACAAATCTAATGGTCTGTTCATATGAGAAATGATTCAACAACGGAAAATCTGATCTTCTGTCTTCTATTCAAATTGCACGAGAAAGGGCAGGAAAAAAATAATAACAACAAAATATTCTCATTAGTAGGACAACTTTCAGATGGTTAAGCTATGAGTACTGCTCCTTATTGAAATACCATACCATGTTACATTTTAAAAGTCCAACATGTAAAGGATATTTAGGGATAAACACAAAAAGCCGTGTGGAAGAGTAAGAAATACGTATTCTGAAACATTCACAGCTAGATAAGCTGGCAGTAGGATCTACATCTTTACAATCTGATGGGAAAATCTATTACATCAGTGCACATTCCCAGAAAAGAACAATTTCAAGGACTATTTAAAAGCAGCATTAAACCTGACATTTTCCATTTCTGTGCTAACCAATGATCAGCTGGATAACAACTCCCCTCCCTGGAATATTTCAAATGACAAAAGGAAGTAATGTTTTACAGAAAGGTAGAAAACATACCCCCTCCCTGGAATATTTCAAATGACAAAAGTAATGTTTTACAGAAAGGTAGAAAACATATTGGTACTGTATATTAGGAATATTAGGAAAACACTTGTATCACAGAGTAATTTGAGTTGGAATGGATCCTGGAAGGTCCCTAGTCCAATCTCCTGCTTAAAGTAGGGCCAGCTATGAAAGATCAGACCAGGAGCTGAAGGCTTTGTCCAGTGGACTCTTGGGATCCTCCAAGGATGGAGACCGCATTGAGAAATCTGTTCGACTGTTCTCATGGTGAAAAATTTTCTCCATACATCCAGTCATAACGTATCCCATTACCATTTACACCCATTGCTTCTTTCAACCATGCTTGATTGCAAAGAATCTAGGTCCATTTCCTCAGTGACCTTCTGAAAGGCTGTTATTAGGTCATCACAAAGACTTCTCCGCTGGCAGGGCACAGTGCTCACTCACGTCCAGTTAGTTGCCTACAAAAGCCCTCCAGTCCTTTTCAGCAGAGGTCCTCCCCAGCCAGTCAATTTATTGCCCGTATCATTGCAAGGGTTTCTTCTTTCCCAGGGGCAGGACTTCACATTTCTTGAGTTCTGTAAGGCTCCTGTCAGCCAAGGAAAGCCAAGGAGAGTTGTGAGCCCATTGCTTGCTGGGGCAGGGCACATAGTGACAAGGCACATGGAAAAGGTTGAGGTATTCACTGTCCTTTTAGCCCGAGGTTTCACTGCTGAGGCTTATTCTCAGGCTTCCCAGGTCTCCCAAACCTACAAGCAGGAGTGAAAGCAATATATACAGCAGAGACAGAGAGATTTAGGAATCACCCAACTCATTTAGAAATAAAAAAATCCACAGGACGAGATGGGATGCATCCAAAAGTGCTAGAGAGCCAGCTAACGTCACTCCATGCTTTCATCTTCAAAAGGTTATGTTGATCTAGGGTGTTTGCTGATGAAAAATGAAAATATCACATTTGTCTTCAAGAAGGGCAAGGAGCAGAAAGATCTAGGTAATTACAAGCTGGTCAGCCTCCACTCAGTCCCTGAGAAGGTTATGGAGCAAGTCCTCTTAGAAGACATTTCTAAACACTTGAAGAACACAGAGGTGATAAGGAGCAGCCAACACAGATTTACCAATGGCAACTCATGCCTGATCGACCTCGTTGCCTCCTATGAAGAGGTGACTGCCACTATGGACAAGGGGGGAGACAGTGAATGTTTTATACCTTGACTTTAATTGCTGAACATCTGATTTTTCTGTCGAAGAAAGAAATACGCAAATCCTATAAGCAGAGGAAATTATGAAGTCTAGTTTTCAGTAGGTTTTATTCATATTTCGATTAGTCTATGCTAAAAAAGATAGTGTCTCAGCAATAATAACAATTCTCAGTTTCTTTTGTTCTCCTCCATCTATCTTCTCATTTTTCCCTTCTCCAAGTTGGAGGAATGCCTCTCGTGCAGATTCTGCTTCTGTGAGGATCACTAATTGTGTCTCTCTTCTCCAACCCATTTTTCCAGTGGACTCAGAAGTTAGCGGTGAGATAGATGGGAACAACAAACACAGTTACCAAACTATGCTTTTACGTACTAACTTCCTTAAAAAACAAGGTAAACCAGATTACTACTGCAAAATTTTACACATTATGGGTTTTAATCATTATGCTTATCTAAGACTGACCTGATGGTAGCAGTCAGCATTTCCTTCAACACTGGCAAGTTCTTGCAGCTCTTGAGAAGGATCAGCACCGGGAGAAATAATTATCAAGATGGGCTCAATTTCCAGAGTCTCTTTATACAGACGTTTCAAATTCAGAGGCAATGGAGATAATTCTTTTAGTCCTAAAATTAGAATTAGAATTATTACGGACCGTGACTACACAAGATGGAGCACTTCATTAACTACTTTAAAGGTCATCTGGCTGTCAAAGTTCTGTTCAACAGAGACCATAAAACTGGTCCTACAATAAGAATAAAAAATCCTTACAATATGCAGGTAGAAGGCACCCTATATTGGTAAGAAAAAGACACAAGCACCAAAATGATGCCTGGACTTCCAGCATGACTGCAGTCTTTATTTAGAGTGTCATGTTCCAGGAAACAGACCAAAAGAGAAGAGCTGGAATATAAGAATTTGAGAAGCTATGCTATTTGCTAGAACTAACTGCAGTGTGTATGTCTACATGCAGAATTTCTCTCCTGTATTGTCCTGAGAGCCTTAATTATTAAATTTTACTTTACACGGTTCTTGATACTACAATTTCCTTAGTTTATTATTTGCTTTAATATGCAACTTAAATATTTAGAATGTTGACCTAGTATAGGCAAAGCATTTACACATGAGCTATGTGTGTAAGTGTACTATAAACTTAAACAGTGTCAACCAATTATCTTCAATGCATCTTTAGACTGGTCCTTAAATAGCAAAGTGTTAGGTGCAATGGGAAATCACAACATAAAGCAAGCCAGAAGAGCCCAATCAGACATCTATGCCACACTTATTAAAAGACACAATATACATTTCCTCGAGAGCACAGTCTGCTTTCAGACTTGAGCTATTATCTCCACATAAAAAATACTATATAATTTTAATACAACAGGTCAGGTTGTCAAGGGTTAGTATGAGCTCTGGGTTCTCTGCATATATCTGCACAGAGACTCTAATGGATGCAACTAAACAGATAAAATCACTATCAATCAAAATGCTTTAAAATAATTGAATTATACAGGACTAATATTGGAAAATATTTTAATTTTACATTCATTAGGCATGCAGAGGGAATATAAGCAGAGATAAATACATAAACTGAGGCCATAAGTCAATTGATACATTCAGGTCCCTTGATGAGTTCTCCTTCTCACTGCCAATAAGCCCTAAACCCTAGAAGATCCATAAAATGACACTGAAATTAAAGTAGGGCTGTTCAGTGCTGGACTGAAGCATGCTCAGGGAGGAAGACTCTTCAGGGACTCAAAAACATCTGCAAGCTGTTTCTTAATTAATCCTGTATTGGCAAAATCTGGACACTTTTTCAGAAGGCCTGAAAAAAGTTTACATTTTGAACGAAATCTGTCCAGCATACCAGCTTTCTAGTCATTCCTCCAAACTGAGCATATAGGAACATTTTTCACAAATACAAGGTACTCCAAATTTAACATGTCCTTCACTAACATAATAAATGGAAATAGCTAAGCTATTAGCGGGGAAGGGAGAAAGAAAGAAAAATTAGCTAAGAAAAAAAATGAAACTTGATATATAACTACAGATCAGTTTGGTTTTTTTCAACTAGTCATAATTCAAGCTACTTGAGTCATTCCAAGCAATAAAAGAAAAATCAGGAAGTAGAACATGATAGCATTCTCTAGGGTAAGAATGTTTATTTTAGTCAGATTTTATGAAAGACTGTTGCCAATGCTGAAAATGGAAGACAGTATTATGCCTATAATTAGAAATTCCAACATTGAATGTTTGTTTTTGTGGATGAGGGCCACAAGGAAGAGGTACTTGTGATACGTTATGATACTGGGCCTATAAACCACTGTCTTGCACCTTAAGAAAGTTTCATCTCATCAAATCCCTCTCTACTGAGTGGTATTCACTGTAACTATATTTCACTGTTGAAGTCTCAAAATACAAATTTTTCCATATTAATTTAATACAAATATTAAAACATTGCATATTATTATAACTTAATCACTAGCTACATAAGCAGTAAAGCTATATTGAGATTCTTAAGATCAAATTTTAGATCAAAATTTGATTAAAAGTAATTTTCTGGAAAGGTCAATTTTAAGTTTTACTAACTTTTATTTCAGTGAAGAAAAAATTTAAATCTTCACTGCTGTTTCAAATCCTGTGAAAGAAGACTAAAAATATCGGGTTTAGTCAACAGTAAGTCCAACAGGCAGCAAAGAAACAAAACTCAAATGCAGAAAGAAGACTAAAAATATCGGTTTTAGTCAACAGTAAGTCAACAGGCAGCAAAGAAACAAAACTCAAATGCCGATCTTTCTGACCACCAATTAACATTGTGGAATGGGCATCATGCAATATTCATTATTACATGGAAATGCAGAACAGATGTACAAGGTCATACAAGGTAAATCCACTGGGTCTTTTAAGTACTGTTATTACTTCCAGTTGAGAAACCCTGGAGACATAAAACACTGGTCACTGCAAAAGGTTTCACTATAGGCTTGCAACGTTCTTACACTCTTGCCTTGACATTTTCTGTTTGTCATTGACAAAGTCAGTAACAACTAGACAGACCTCTGTACTTCACCTGTTCAACCATTCTTACAGTCCTCTTCCTAAGACTGCTTTGCTGCTACAAACAGGTGCAAGGAATATACTACAGTCAAGATAAACCAGACACTGTTGGCTGTATTGTTACTTTTAGCAGTGCAAGCAGAAGGCACACAGATTCCCGAGAAGCTTAATTGTTTAGGAGTTTTGATATCCTACATAACTCTATGTTAACTGGGGACTACTGCTTGGCCTGGTATTAACTGCAGAATAGAATAAAAAGCTATGACTGGGCAATAGACGAATGTGTGTACACCTGCAACTCATTGTAATAACGTATTTAAGGTAATGATGTTAACTTAAAAGAGGTGCAACTGTAATGGAGTAACTGCCTAGACAAATATCTTGTAGCACTCTTGAGAGGCATCATTTAGAAAATGAATACAGTGGTGTAAGGTTTCTTCCATAAAACAGTTTGGTTTTTTAGAAATTTGGACACAAATTTTTTTTAGAAATTTTTGAAAAAGCATAGCTATGCTGAAGGTGCTTTTTGTTTTAAGGAAGCTCAACAGAACTGAAATACAGAAGACTACAATACAGCCCCGTCTGTTCCTGGCTGTTACAGCCAGGATTACGTTCAGAGAACTGAAAAAAAGGACTCCACCGTTTTCAGGGTAAATCAATATGCACTCATATTCCAGATAACAACTATGCAGTCAGAGTGTGGATCCTGACACACTTTTCTGCTTCCATGTTCCATTCTGACCAAATTTCTTAAATCTGTCCAAACTGACATCCTGACATAAGAAGAAAAAGCACATGTGAGAGCAAATAACTTTTCAGAAAACGTCTAAAGTAAGGGGGGAAAAAGATCAAAGGGGAAAAAAGAAAGACCTGACGCTGGCACAGGATGCAAACGTCACATTTTTTATAAACCAACGAAGCTTACATAAAATCAATGAACAACTTTTCACAAAACCTCTCTACTGAAGTCAATGCAATTAAACCAATATACAGCAGCTGGAACTTGAAGTCAAAGTGCTTGTTAAAATTCCTTCTGTTGGTGATCTGTACACATGGAAACAACATACCAAAATATCAGTAAATGTATTATTACTATTAACAATTCCAATACAGAAAGCAGAGGAGGTTGGTTTTTTTTTATTTTATCAAGTAATTTTATTTTGGCCTAGATGCACTGTGACCATGACAGCTATGATCTAATTTATAGGAAATGGTTTGTGAGAATAAAATACAAACCTGTTTAGCCTGCACTGTACTGGTTTTTTGAAGAATATGAAAATGTAGATAATAAAAATCAAGCCTCTTTAAGTACTATTTCTGATGTAGTCAGTCTCAAAAAACTAAGTTAAAGTATTTAGGAAAAAAACCCAGCTCAATGAGAGAATGATTTGGGAGATATAGTTTTATGCTAACATGGTGCATGTCAGTATAGCATGTGAAAAAGAAATAGGCATACTTTGGGTGCCCACGAAACAGATTTATAGAAAATTCTTATGAACTTTATCTTCAAAAGAAGTTATTTTAATCTCCCTTCATCCATAAATTTAAAAATATATGTAAAAGATTAAAAAAGGAAAAAAAAAAACATATCTGGATAAAACTGGATAAAATAGAAGTGGAAGGCTATTACAGCTCTTTTGGAACTCATGTTTATCACAGAAGAACAGCCAAAGGAGATTGGAAACATTATAGTTCCCTTTTGAATGAAGTGAAACAGTTTGTTTAAGAAGTTTCAGGGCAAGGACCCTGAAAAAGACATGGTAGAAAATAAACAGAAAAAATGTTCATACAAGCATGACCCCTTTTATTAGTTGAAAAGCGCTAGTCATGATTTATGACATGACCTCAAGATAAAACCTCACTGATACGCATGAAAAATCTGTGGATGAAACATTGCCTACAAATGGAGTCAATGTTATTCTGCCTTCCTCAGTGAGGGTGTAGTTTCATTCACCATTAATTATTCCCTCGTGGAAAGCCTCCAAGGAGCTGGTATCAGGATAGATCTAACCAATTTATGCCATACATTAAGATTTGAAGACAGTAAGTGGGTGAATAAACTTACTCTGCATTTAGGTCTCTGCTGGGCTTTGAGCTGCATGTACTACAGATGGCACTTGTCATTTGATTCCAACAGACAGGGACATTGTTAGCGTGAGACCTGTACACTCACGACAATGAAAGTACCTCTCTATCTACTAATAATGTTTGACAGAGCAGGCTAACCTTATTCCTGAAAATACTGGCCTTGGTGATAGACATAGAACCAATTTTGACCAACAAATAATGCCCACAGACAGCACAAAGAGGGAGTAAGATAAATTCTCACACAAATGTCATTAAAAATGTAAGAAACAGAGACCTAAACTTACAGTAATAAGAAATGACATGTATGTCAAGAACTTAAAGTTACCACAGTCATTGGTTTTTTATATGTAACTCATCTATTACATTACCATGCAAAACTACCCATCTCAAGATCATTCAGCCTGCAGATCTTCACAAGTACTGGAAATTTAAGTCCAGCCATACTACCTCGGCAGCCTATGAGTCAATTTTCCAGATTCACTTTCTACCACATTAAAATCAGCCTTTGTCACTTACATGTAAATTCTTTATAATCTACATCCTCTCCCTTCTGTTAATCTCAGTTCTGTCCTGACACTGCACCAAATTAAAACCAACAAATTCTGTCCTGTCCCTACATCATGTAGTGGGTGATTGTAAAACTACGGTGTCCACCCTGATGAGACACTGGTAATTCATCTTCCACGTGCGTAATGCCATTAACTGCTAAAAATTGAAGTGTGCTGTATTTACAAAATTAAGATTACCTGGAATATAAATCCCAAACTTTGTATATAAAAGACGTCAGAGAGGAAGCAGACAGACTAGAATTAATAGACAATCATACTATTGAATCATTCTAAATCATGTGTATTTCTAAATAGACAGTAAAAATTGTGTTACAGTCCAAGAGACTGACAAAAATGACTGAATATAAGAAACAATGTTTTGAGATCCAATCTACAAAATCTCAAACCTAATGGTTTTTAAATGGTAAATAACATTAAATGAAATAATCTTTCTGGACAATTTGTCTCTTAAGGAAAATGCTGCACTGTAAAACTCATAGAAAACCTCCTCTCTTAATTACTCCAGTGTTCAAGAATTCGTTAAAAGAATCTGACAGATCTTTTATTATCTTTTAAATCACTATGTAGTAAAAGGTAAACGATTTTAAAAACATTTTTTAAGAACACATTTCAAGAACAAAATCAGCAAATCCATTTACAGCATATTTTCAAATCCTAAAACTTAGTCATTCCATAAGAACTATAAAATAAAAGAGAAATATAGGACAAAAAAAACCCATTTAATTGTCGAGTGGAAACACCCTGTTGAAAAATTAACTTACCCAGGGTTTTACATGCAAAAAGAGCCATGGCACTTTGTAGCCTGTCTGGTCGGACAGCCTGGATCACAAGTACCTTGATATAAAATATATTCAGGAGAGATGAGTTTATAAAGGTATATTGTGACAATTTAAAAACCAAGACTCTTCTAAGAAGGTTTCTCTTTAGAACAAAGTTATTTTCTCTGAATATATAGAGCTATCTGATCATTCTTTGGAAGATAATCTAATGTAATTGTTCTTTTTTAAGTAGCTTGTCCTATTAATAAAATCAGAAGATAGACCTATATTTAATCTCTATTTGTAAGCCGGAACTTTTTCTACAATGTTTTAGAAAAAAAGGTAGGTTTTTCTAAAAAAAACCCAAAAAAAAACCAAAAACCAAAACAAAACAAAAAAAAAGGATGACATTTTTCTCTTTCAGAGGAGAAGGATCCCTGGCTGGAGGAAGGAAGTTGCCTCTCCTCACATTCTTGGTGAGCTCTTTAATCACCAAGCTTTCAGGAAGAGCTGTATTCCATGACTACTACTCTAAAAAGCAGCAGCCGTTACTGTGTTTTGCAGTTTTCAGTCAGATGTGTGAGTTTGCACATTTAATGATGAACCAAATTAATGATGCACAACAAGCTGACAAATTCTGCAGTTACAAAGCAACCATGAAAGAATTTTAATACCTATTCATAAAATTAATTCTGTGACTATTAACAAAGAGCTTGTTACCTTACAGGGTATGCTCAGTTGCAGCCAATACACCAACGCAAAAAAGACTCAGATAAGAGAGATCTAAACATGTATTATTGGAAAAAAAAAATCCTTTAACTAAATAAACTAGTTAAGCTGTAAGACAATGTAGATACTGTCGCTGCCTATAATTCAACCAGGCCTGAAGCCTAAATTCCCAAGACTTATAACTTACTTTCAATGCTGAACTCATAATTATTTTTAAATAATTTAATATTAAAAGATTACCTGCTGAAATAAGGAAATTCTTTTTGCAATAATAGATGGAAAGTCTTGTTCACATACAGAGCTCTGAGAAAAAGTGTGCCACAGACCTTCATCTTCAAAGCTAAGTGTCTGATAGAGACCTGGGAGAGAAAGCTACAAAGCAAATAATGTATATTTAACAATGAAGCAGAATAGCCATTTGGACAATGTATATTTTAAATAATTTCCAAATACCACTGTGACTGTAAACCTGTAAATACTTGTGCATATCACATAACTCAGTTCAATTTTATCCTTGGAGTTAAAGAAGAAAAGGGTAGGTTTTAAAATTAACCATTTGTTTACCTGTTCTCTGGAAATGCTAAGTCTGTATTTGCTCTATATTTTTGTTTTTAAACTTCTAGATTCTTTGTTTTTAAACTTTGGTCTCTACACAATTGTAGACTATAAATAGCTTGTAATAGTAATTTTAGACTATAAATAGTTTAAAATAACAAAATATTTCCATCTCTTAAACACATATTTGAGAATTCAAGAACAAATTACTATTTGCTAAAATCAATGGCGTTTTACGTTAAATTCTACCCACCACATGATGTATACCTTCAAAGATGCTACAGCCCAGGCTCGGTCCTGTTCTATCCAAGGGGGAATCTGGTCACGAACACCCCTCTGTGAATCCTTATTGAAGCAAGTTACATTACACACATGAGTTACGCAAATTTTTGTTAAACACTATATTCAGTAATAAGACCGTAAAACCTATGTTTTTAATAAAAACAGCATTCATAACAGGAACCTTTCTGTTTGCTAGGTTCATAAATGGCATAATAAAACAAAAGCTACCAAGGATTTAAATTTGAGATATACTGTTCACATTAATATTTGCTTAACCACTTGTGCCTGAAAATATTTTACCATTTAGAGTATCCGTATGACACACTCAACTCTAAGTAGTTTTCTTTTCCGTAAAAAAGAAGTGACCCAAATGATTGGCTGTCTGCATATGCACTCTGAGCAACTGACTTCAAAAACTAAATCCACTGCACATATTTGCAGTCATGAATCATAGAATCATCAGGTTGGAACAGACCTCTAAGATCATCAAGTCCAACCGTTGACCTAACACTCCTACGTCCACTAAACCATGTCTAAGAGCTCTACATCCACACGTTTTCTGAACATCTCCAGGGATGGTGACTCCACCACTTCCCTGGGCAGCCTGTTCCAATGTTTGGCCACTCTTTCGGTGAAGAAATTTTTCCTAATGCCCAATCTAAACCTCCCCTGGCACAACATGAAGCCATTTCCTCTTGTCCTATCACTTGTTACTTGGAAGAAGAGACTGACTCCCACCCCACTACAACCTTCTCTACTAAAAGGCTATTTTGAAAGTATACAGATTCAATAGAATTGAGGGACATTTAGCACACTACATCATGATTGGACAGGCATGCAACAGAAGCTTCTTAAACTGGCTCTGTCACCTAGGAAAATATATGAATATATCTCCAGATGTAGAACTCCGAGGTTAGGGGAAAAAAGCATGTCAAAGTTAGCAAAGTGTGTGGACAATTCCATCAATCCATACAAAATGTACAACTCAAAGAAAAAGGAATTCAGAAACACTGATTTTAGTTACAGACAAGGGCTTAAAACCTCCTCAAATGTACCACTGAAAAAACAATTTGTAATCCTGGTAACAGAAAAAGAAAAACAAAGCAACAAAGGCAAAAATTAGAAATTAGAGTTGAATTAGAAAATTAGAAAATGAGTTGTCGTGTTCAGAAAGTTTTTATATTTTTACAGTACTATGTGAGAAGTTATTTATTCCTTTAATGTAAGAATACAATTAATTAAACAATATAGTAAGAAGACAATTCTAACTTTTCTGGATTTATGTAAATGTTCCTTATTTCAAAATACACAAATAAATGTCACTTACTGATTTTCTTATGGTATCTCCAATGATCACACCTGTAAACGTTTCCCATTCCTAGGGCGAACAAATAAACAACTCAGATCAGTCACAAGACATCAAGAATAAACACAAAAAAATAAAAAAATAATAAAAACAAGGCAAAACACAAAGATAAACAAATTAAAGCCTAAATTCTGAAAGAGTTATAAGACATTTTTTAAACTCTAGGTAATAGTACCAGTATGTCATTCTGTGCTTCATAAGAAACAGAAACAAAAGGAGAAGCCCTATCTTTTCTCAGCACCCACAGCTCCCACCCAGATTGCCTAACTACAGGCTAGCAAGAAGTAATATATGTGGCTGGCAAGGACATGTGCTGCCTCACAGGGCACCAGCAACCCACATAACAAACAACTACAGAGTCCACATTTCTATAGTGTTTCACGTTAATAGTATCCAAAAGATGCAGTTATTAGAAAAGCAGGAATATTTAATATAATAGATTGGTTGCATTAAGAAAGGAAAATGAAGTCAAATTTATATATGATTGAAACTTTTAGACTTCATATTTGTATCCAGGATGACAGCTTTTAATCATTTTAAGACAAATCAGATAGGTATTTCAAAACATACTACAACATACTACAACTGACACAATTCTATATCTAGAGGTGGTAAGAAATAAACTAAAAAATCTTCATAAGTATTGAAATTTTACATAATCAGTATCTATAATTCTATGATAAAGAAATTTTTTTATTGTTAAAGAAAACAGCAACCCTCTGAAAAGTCAATCAGCTACTACTACTCTGATACAGACCACAGCAGAGCTTTTAGCACCTATCGATCTAGTTAAGTCTTGAAACAAGTCTCTCTTTCAATTACAAACTGATGCTCCTCTCCTAATTACAAAGTAAATGCTCATGCACAGAAAAATACATGAAGGTTCTCCAGTTTTAAGACCAGAAATTGTGTAATATTTTTATGAAGAAAAGCAGAAGTATAATATGTAGAGACATGTAAAACTACCTCAGAAAAATCTATACATATTGACTCAGAAAAATAATGTCTCTAAGCGCCAAGGCATTCTATAGTACAAAGCTGATGTTGCACCATAAATTTCTCATCACTATGCAAAAAATCCATAAGTGCAGAAAGTTGAACTCTTTTGGGACAGGGACTTAGAGTATTAAATTCTCTAGCAGCATAATAAGCAACTTCTAACCTCATCACATTAAAAGAAAAGCTTAAAAAGAAATAACTTTAAAAGAATAACCACTTCAGCTTCATTTTCCTCGATAAATATTTTGCACATACACTCTTTTCTTAACAATTTAACTAAAATAATTTCTACCTTTCAAAGAAATAAGAAAATTATTGATATTATTCTGCCTGTTTTAATTCTGATTCTGAATTCTAATCAGATACTGCACAAGCGTGCATTAAATGTAACCTAGTTTATCATCCCTCTCAGAGACAGGCCAGTATGGTACAAAGAATCCAACACTTATGTGGCCAGAGAACAACATACGAGAAGGACGCTCTGTGCAGCGCGCTTTTGAACACACTGCTGCAAATGAGGGCATTAATGATCACCGGTCCAGGGATTTCTTAAGACACTGAAGAATCAATGGCTGAAATGCACAGAAGATAACTTCTTGACCTTCCAGAAAGACTCTTTGCTTTAAGTGTCCTCCACTGCAGGTTGCAGAATCAGACTTTTATTTAATTTGTCCCTAGTTCTTGCAGTCTTTTTCTATATCTCAATAGCAAGGCACGATGCGCGAGCAATCTCTGGTCACAGTGAAACAGGTCTGTATCCATCACTTCACTTATGAACAAATATTCATATTTAATAGCAAGGATGGATAAATGTGGGAAACAGATGCAGTGTCTCCAAAACACTCAAGAACCCTCCATAAACATCTTTTTCAGACCCCTATTTAAAAGACAACCATTCACGTACCTTTCTCACAGTAATCTTCACTTTGAACCTAATAAATATAATGCTGACATTCAAAAGAAACTATTATAGAAAAATAGTACCATATAAATCTAAAATGCCAAGTCCTACACTTACTGACAAAATCTTTTTATCTACTTATTTACTCTTCTTACTAAGTTTAAGTAAATCACCGGGGGATTTTCTGCTCTAGCACTTACATTTTCTTGAAAAAGTTCAGGGTGCATTCCTCGTACAAAATGTAGAGCAAACATTAGCTGATCAGCCTGAAATAAAAGCCGTAAAAATGTTATTTGTATGGTCATCAAAAGTCACCTTTCTGCTTTTTTCATAAGTAACAAAATTTAATTAATAAAACACCTCTAATTCCATAGTAGTGACTTAATGACACATATCCTAATTCAAAATTGCTACATACTTCTGCAACTTAGAGACAAACACTAACTCAAACCCTGTATCCATTTACAGCTAAGTCCAAGTGAAGAATTAAAACCAGGTACTTGTAATAAAGTAAACATATCAGAATTCATTATTTTTTAAACTATATGTAGAAAATTATTGAAATCTTCTTATAGCAAATTTTTGAAACAGAATTTTGAAATAAAAAACCCAACTATAACCTTCTGACTTTTTCCTAGATCAGTTGCATCACTTGAATCTCAATCACTCTCAGCACTGGAGCAATAAGCCAGGAAGAAGGATTTAATGGAGCCATAAACCATGCAAACATTCAAGATAATATCTTTTAAAATAATAATGGCTTGTTAAAACTGGGATTCCTATGCCCTTACACAGAAACTTTCATAGCTGTGTTTTACAAAAGCTGTGCTGGAATGTAATGAAGTCAACGTGAAAAATTGGAAGTTGGTAATCTGGAAAATCAGGACCATTCAGAAACCTAGACTGAGGCCTCCAACTTTCAAAGTCTGGCTGTAATCTGAAAGATGTATTCTACAAGACACTAGAAGATACACACGTATTTTCTGTCACTGAAATTTTAAGTAAGCCTAAGTAAGGTGGTACCACTTCTTTTCCTTTCAAGAAAGTGAAACATAACTAAAAAGCCTAAAGCACAGGTAAAATGGAAGAACAAACAACAGAAGAAAAATCAATGATGCATGGGATTGGGTTAAGTCTGAAAAGTAGAGGCATCTCAGCCAGCTGATAAACACAACACACCTGCACTCGTATAGAAATCAATTCTATTCCTGACAACATTGTCTGAATTTTCCATGGTGCGGTTTCCCACACACATGCCTTACGTGTACCTCAAAACGACAGCCTGATTGTCCTTAGCTTCAGAGAATTACCACTCTGAAGAATATTAAATTATCAAGAATAGTACTGAAAAATAAATTGCTTGGGACTTTTCAGAAAAGACAGGACCAAATATGAGGAAGTATTATGTACATTATGTACATGACTAATATTGGCTTTCTCATCTCAATGTCTATTATATTTTTGAGGCCAAAATTACATAAAAGGGCCAAATTATTTTTGTTTTCTTTCATTTATTACTGTTTTCTCAAGCAGATGCCTTTTTACAAGCCTGACACATCAGCTTAGAAACACACAGATATAAGAACAACATAGAACGAAAATATGGAATAAGGTGTTCAACATGTTCATCATCTTTGGGAAGTTTGCTTATGTGCTGTAGAAGTAACTTCAACTGCATCTACATCTGTATTTCGAATAATACAAGTGTATCATTTAATAATTTACCTGGTGATTAGGTTCCAGGATTATGGTTGACTGACTAAATGGACACAGGTGGCTTAGAGACCATATCCTTACTAGTTTTAATTGCCCTTGGAATGACTGACCTTGAAAACTAGCCAAGAAACTATATAGAACTTGATTCCTATCGGCCACAGCTGCTTTAAACTGCATTTAGGTAACACAGAAATGCATGATGGCAGCCACAACAAACTAGTGGCATAATTTGTATCTCTGTAGATACCGATACACAAAGTTGTTGTTTGCTGCTTTAAATAGTTCAGTTTTATTAATTCTTTCCATTACAAAACCATATGGTACAAAGTATCCCCTAGGATACAATTAAAGCAAATAAAGGACACTATTTTATTTTTGCATGTATTTACTGTTGATTTTGTTACCGGAGTAGGACTTGAGGGCAAACAAGCCCCAACTAGGAATCAAGGTCAAACTGCACAAAGCACTAAAGTTCTTTTTGTATCGATAAATAAAATACGCCCATGAACATCATATGACACTGAGAACAACTGCCACGGAATGGCTGAAATCCATACAATTAAACCCTTTCATTCTCTCAGCAAGGTCTGCAAGCAAATCCAAATCCAAACTGCCAATTAGAATGCTCCCTGCATGACATGGTATCCAAAACTTGAATGGGAATTGTTTGGAAGAATACTAACTGGCCCAGGCCAAACCCATGACAGCAACTATTTTGACAAATTAACAGTACAGGTGGGCCAATTCCAGTGCTCAGGCAAATTTCTTGGCACCACTTCACTTACTATCATACATGAAGTCTATGTACACAGAAATGTAAGTATTAACCACAGACAGAAAAACAAAACCAACCTTCCCAATTCTAACACATTTAAAAAGATATAAACTTATATCAGCTATACCATTTATGAAGACACTAGTAAAGCCCCAGTTTCACAGCAGTCTTTAAAAATTTGCAAGGATAAAAGGCAGAATTAGCAGTGGATTGATGACGGCATGAGGGGCTTATTTGTTCTCTCCACTATCAGAACACAACACTAAGCCAGATGGACCATTAGTCTGAAGCTGCATGGTAACACTTAGACTTTCAGTATTTTTCTAAACTCCAGTTTGATCATTCACAGTGAAATACTTTCCTACTACAAATCTCCTCTCTGAGCCTTGCTTTTGAAACCTTTAATCTTTTCTGATATATAAAAATAGCTACCTTCCAACGTTCAAAAGATGCGATGACTTATTGGAAAGCTTCACATACTCATGACTTCAAACACAGACACTAAATTATTTTAAGACTATTTCATGAGAATCCACTTGGATTTTGATAAACCAAAATCCTTATAAATAACTGCTACCTCTGCATCCTCAATAGTGCTGCTAGACTGGGGGGAGAGGAGATGGAAAATTTTCCAAGATCTCTCCATTCTCACTGATCAAACTCCAGACTTGCATGATTTGTACTACTGCTCAAATCATCTATGCAGACTTGCCATGAATTCTTCAGCCTGGTACTAGAACACAAACATCTCCTGTTATGACTGTTCCATGTGAAAGTGAAAATTAAAAGTGAAAGTGAAAGGCATAGGTTTTCACCAAGGAAGCAAGAAGACAAAAGCCAACTGATTCAAATACAGAGCAAACAAGAAATACATCAAGAACCTTATATGGAGGAAAGAGGAACAGATAGAAACAAACAAGCTTGCAGGTGGAGATTTTAGGCAGGATGTGAAACTATTACAATATTAATTTTTTTTTAATTTCTTTTTAAAAAAACCCCAAATAATCACACAAAACCTTATCATGACAGATAGGTCAATCACTCATACCTAGGAATGCTAGAAATAAGAGCGAATGGAATAAGAGTGCTCAGAAGACTGCGAAGCCTGGGACTGGCTATGAAGCCAGCATGAGGCAGAGATGAGGAGCCAGAGGTAAAGCAGAAATAGGACTAAACAAAGAATAGCCTTGTGCATTAGAAAACTGCTCTGTGCAGAAACATGCATAAGCAATCTTAATTCTGTCATATACTAATTTTTAGTCCTCCTTCTTTTGCATGTTAACTATTGCAAATGTAATTTTTTGCACGTATTACATATGTACTGACACAACACTGCTTATCTGAGGTAGATCAAGTCTCGGTTGCTGAAAGAATACTTTCAAAATCAGTGCACTGCATAAAAGCCAGAAAAAATACAATCTTACCTTAAACAAACAACGGCAAACATATTCGTACACTGTATGTTTCAATGAGCCAATAAGCAACTTGATTCTTTCCTCAGTATTACTTGAATCCTAAAAAGAAAGTTTTGATTTCAAAAATTCATGTGGAAGCAAAAATCTTTTTATGTACCCTGTAAATTTCAGCAGAATGACACAAATAATCTGGACTCTATGTGACACTCACTAGTTTTAAAAACATATTATTGAACTCAGCTGCAGCTATCAATGAGTAGATGATAAAATGAGAAGTTCATGTCGAAGCATTAAGAAATGAGTATTTTGGCCTAGAATATTTTGACTGTGAACATTATACAACATTATTTATAAGGTAAATACATAAAGAATGAGACAACGGTTTCTTCTGTTAACATTAATATCCTTGAAATCTCACAGTTTTCACTTGGTAAAAAATTGCTTATGTATTGAATTACTACACTTAATGTTATTAAACAGGTATGTTGATGTTAAGTGTAGTTACTAAACTTCCAGACAAATTTGGCCCAACTGAAGTAAACATTGTAGAAAATAGAAAATACACCCTGTCCTTCAAAGCTTACATACTAAAAGGCTAATTATAACAGAAGAAAACTGAAAGAAAGGTAGGATAAAAAAAAAAAAAAAAAAAAAAAGGAAAGAAGAGGAAAACGATGTGGTGGGGTGGGGGTGGAAGTTGAGGGAAGTAATAGGTAGTATGAGATTTATCAGGAACAAATTCCTTTCTACCAGCCTGGAATATGAAGAGGTGAGTTTATAAAGGAAGGCAATTTGGTTTCACAAGCTAATTTGACTAATACCTTTCACATGTCTAAAAGATAGCTTGGGGAAAATGAAGAATTGGATAGAGGAGAAGAAAGTATGGAAGAAAGCAAAGAAGGCAAAACCAGAAGATGAGCTTTAAATAGGTAAAATAATAGGCAGGAATAAAAGAAATTATGAAAG